TGAATCTCTTTCTCAAGTTTTTCTAAATTTTTTTTGTTTTCTCTCTTCTGCTGTATCAATTAAGGATTATCCAATCTTTTGCTCTATGTATTTTCTATCTCTTGTTACTTCTATCTCTCTGTTTTCTTGCTAATTGTGCTTCTAAAGTTTGTCAAGGCCTTGTGAATCTCTCTCCAATTTTTTTGTATTAGATCATAATTAGCGTTTTCAAGTAATATTTCAAAACTTGTTTTTGAAACACTTTCTATGAAAAATATGGTAGCACAAAACCTGATAGTGTTTTTTTTTTTTGTTTAACCATTTTGTGGCTTATCAGTTTTTAGTGACAGGGTGCGCAAGTGTGAGAGTGACCTCTGGGTAATAGTGAGAGGAATGATTTCACTATCCTAGATGATTTCATAGAGTAAAGGTTTGGGGTGCAAAAGTATATAAGGTGCCCTTTGAAAATCCAATTAAAAAGGCAGTTCTGATGTCTAATTACTCTAAAATTGATCATCTTGATCTCGACATATAAGAGTATGGAAAAAGAAAAATTAAGTTTAAAAAATATTGCATCTTATAAAACGTTATCTAGATCGTCCAATTTCAAAAAAAATTATTAAATCTTCTCAATCTACAGCTTTTATGAACTTTAAATTCATAATTGGTGATGAAGACTTTTTTTTTGGTCAATGTAGATTAATAGATTAAAATTGGGGATCACATGCCCTTGAGAAACTTTAGAAGATTTAAATTCCTGATAAAATTGTATATTAACAGACAAACTTATTTTGATTATATAAGGGTAAAATTAATGAAAATGATCTATTCATCTACAAACTTCTTCTCATTCTTTGTAAAATTGTTTGTTAAGTTGTAGATTACCAGACAATTTTACAAAGGCAGAATCAACATTCAATCTCCACAATCTAGTTTACAAAGGTAGAATATTTTTTTATTGAATATCAACATTCTATTTCTTCAATCTTTACTCTTCGATATATTTCTCTAATCTATGGTAAAATTGTCTTCAGTCTTCACAATCTATTTCTTCAATTTTTTTACAATATTGAAGGAATAGATTGAAGATTGAATCTTCACAATCTTTGTAAAATGTGAAGATTGAATCTTCACTTGTTTTACATATTGAAGAAATATTCAATTTTACAAAGGCATAAATAAATTTGAGAATAAGACAATTTTACAATTGAATATTGTCTTACTCGCATTTTAAAATTTTATAAAATTTACTTTATTTTCTTCAGACAATATTTGTCTTATCTTAAAATATTGTATAAAATTTTTCAATTTCTTCAATTGAATATTGTATAAAATTTTCTTTAGACAAAATAAGACAATATTCAGTTTCTTCAATTGTATAAAATTTTTCAATTTCTTCAATTGAGGATTGAATCTTTTTGCATTGTAAAAAAGATTATAACATTTACAATTTTATAAAATTGAATAAGTTATCCTATTCACATTTTTCAATTTCCGAAGAAATTGAGTAACAAACAATTTTACTATCTTTCTGATCCTAAATTTTATAAAACTGTAAAGAAATTGTAAAACATTGCATTGGAAAAGATTTTAACAGATTGTATTGTAATCTTTGAAATTTTTTAAAAGATTACAATACAATTTTAAAAGATTATATTGTAAAATTTTACAATACAATCTTTTAAAATTTAAAATACAACTTTTAAAATATAATCTTTTAAATTTTTACAATACAATCTTATATTGGAAAATTTTTTTCAATCTAATTCTTTTTCAATTTACAATGTTAGAAAATTTGAATATTTTAAATCATTGGGATACAAAAAGTGAATATTTTATAAGATTTTTACAATATTATTTTGCAATTATAAAAGAATTAGATCCAGATACAAAAATTGAATATTTTAAAAGATTTTTACAATATTCTTTTACAATTGTAAAAGAATTAGATCAGT